CCGCTGATAGAGGGTACAGTAACAATCAATCAATATCCAATATATAAGCACAATGTGAAACTAACGTAGAGAAAAAAAGATCTTAATCACCTTCATACGTATGCTCACGTGGACAAAAGTTTAAGGCAGGTCGTTCGGGGTTATCTCCCTCCTGTCGCCCACGTGGACAAAATGCGAGAGAGAGATATTAGAGCAGTTATAGGCTATCCTCTCCAAGACTAACTATAAAAGATAATCCTGAATGCTGCACTAGAGGACTCTCTTCTCGAAAAAAAAAAAATACATATTAGAGACTTTAGTCATTAACTTGAGTATTGAAGAGATCGAGTCAGAAAACTTCTCCCGATATTTGTTTTAGTCCAAGCGATGACTCGGAAGTTCAACACTTTCATTTTAGAGTCTCTTCATAGCCATCTTGAAGTCATCTCAAAATTACTTTTGACACTCATGCGTCGTTGGGTTTGAACCACGTCGAGTTAACTTAGACGTCGATGATGATTTCATTTAACAACCGTATATTTATGATAATTATTTCTAGAAAGAAAAGTTTTCTCTTAATCTATACTAATGGCTATGCACTTGTACAAGACTTATTCTACTTTAACTGACTTGAAGCAAAATAAAAATTAATATATATTTATATACGATTTTTAAGTACAAGTTTATTAGGGTTGCAACTTACTTAAGTTGTTTGTGAGCAAATTGAAGCTCATGTAAAAGTCTCGATAAATAGAAACTTATGGTAAATAGAAGGATAAATAGAAGCTTGTGGTAAAAGTATTTCTTTTAGTTATGTAATTTGAATAGCCTGTAAACATTAATTAGGTCGTTAATATTCATGTTTTTGTTGCTTCCAATCAAATAAATTCAGTATTTTTGGGAGGGATAGGGACAAGTAGGATATGTGACTATGATGACTCAAACATAGAGTGGTGTTTGTTGATGTATTTATTATCATTATTATTTTGGTCGGGTAAAGAAAAAGATAACAAAGCAAAAAGATAAAGGAGCTAAAGAAATAAGGGAGAGGTGGTGACCGTTGTGAAGACTGTGAGGACGACGCGATTGTGTACCATTTTTATGTTTTCTTTTTTTTTTACGTATATAGGTAAAAATAAAGAGCATTCAGAGTTCTTTTAGAAAGATGACTGATTGTATAATATAAATTTCATTAATAATTTTAATATCTTAATAGTTAAAATGATAGTAATATAAATTATAGTTCTACTTATATATATATATATATATATATATATATATATATATACATATATATATATATATATTATGTATACATTTTAAGTTTTTAAGGTACATCATTGCCAAACTAAAATATAAAGGGACAAATTGGAAGAATATACATAAATAACTACGTTAAAGCAAAGCAGAGATGTAAAATTCCTTAAATAAAAATACACATACAGATGATAATAATTATAAAGAAATCCACAAGTGCTTCCTCTTTTTGTAAGAATTTATAAAGGAATCTAAAAGTGCTGCTTCTTCTAAAAAGTGTCAGTCTTTTGTTCTAATTTTTAATTTTCTTCTTTTTTTATTTTCCGTCCTTCAATTTTCAAATATCTTTTAACAAAAGCAGAGGTCCCACACCACCTAAAAAATAAGCACCTTGGCCCACATGGCGGTGATCAGAACTCGACGCAAGCAACGGCCGCTCGTCGAAGCCCCGGAGGGAGGTCCGGCCCGCGGGTCCACTCGCCGCCCTTGATGTCGTACACCAGCACCGCCCCCTCCACCGCGACGGCGTCCGAACCCCTCCTCCCCCCACCGCCGCACCCGACCGAGACATGGACGAGCGCCACCACCTTCTCCTCCCCTACTGCGGCGCAGCTAAAGCGCAAAGCCCCGCCGAGACCCGCCCGAGCCGATATCGGAGGCGGCTCCAATCGCGCCCACTCGCCGCCGCCGCTTCTTCGAGCCCTCGCTTCCCACCGCCAGAACGACAGCTCCACCGCGTGGCTCGCGACCACGTACACGTGCACCCCCGTCCCGCAAGCCCCGACAACGCACCCGCCTCCCGGCACTGCTGCCGCCGCACCCGCCACCGTCCCCGCGCCCGGCCGCCCCCTAACCCACGCCCCTGCCTCCACGTTGTAGGCGTCCATCGACCCCGCGCACACGTGCGCGTCCAGCCTCCCGCCCTCCCCTCCGACGCCACCGACGCGCAGTCCTCCGGCAATGTAGAACACCCCTCCGGCGACGGCGCCCACGCAGCCATACCGCTGCCTCGGAGCCTCCGCCACCACCCGCCACGCGTCGGCCGTCGGGTCGTACTCCTCGACCGCTGAAGCACGGGCGACGCCTCCGGCCACGTAGATCTTGCCGCCAATCGCGGCGGCGGCGAATTTCTTGCGAGGAAAAATGGTCGGGGCCCGAGGGGCAACCGCACCCGTCCACGTGTCGTAGCGGAGAGTGGCGCCGCGGCCAATGATGTAGATTGAGCGGCCGACGGCGGCGACGCGGGCGTGGGAGAAGGAGAACGATCCGTCGAGTGCCTCGAGGGGGAGGACTGCAGAGGCGGAAGATGGAGCCCAGGCGGAGGCGAGGGGAGCGTCGACCGGGAGGGAGGTGGAGGAGAGAAGGCCGAGATCGGAGAGCGCTAGGGCGTGGAGGGTACGACGGAGGCGGCCGTGAGCGCAGCGGAGGCGGAGGAAGGCAGGGGAGTCGAGTAGGAGGGAGAAGCGGCGGCAGACGAGGGGAAGGGCAGGGAGGGAAGATGAAGGAACCCTGGAGAGGCACTCCAAGAGGAGATCGTCCGGGAGCGACATGATCGGGGCTGCCGCAGACGCGGAGGCGACGGCTGACGGCCTGAGGTTGTGGTGATGGTGGACGATTTCCAGCGAGGGATGGGCGATGATCTCGCGGCGAGGATCGGGTCGGCAGGGCTTGACGAGCCACGAGAGGCTGCGGGAGTTGCAGGCATCCGCCATGCCTTACCTTCCTCCTCTCCTTCGATAGAAGCAACAAAGGCAAAAGAGAGAAAAAGGGTAAACAAGACGGTGATGGAAGCGATTAAAGTTGGCCTGCTCTTATTAAAGCAGATGAAACAGTGCCATCGCCTCCGATTCGATGCTGCCTTTGGTGCGACACCGCCCTCGCCTCCAATTATTACTCTTTTGTATATATATATATATACTCATTTATTCATGGGGTAAGCGCAATATTCGTATTTATAGTTTTGGGGCAGTGTGGAGTGAGTAAAAGGAGGATTAGATTAGGATTGGATTGGCCACGTGAGTGCAATTAATTAATAGATTAAAGAAGAAAGGGCAGAGGAGAGGACGACAGACACGGAAACGACGTCGTTCGTAGGCTTTAAAGGTGCGTATGCCACTGACAGCTAATACGGACGGCGGCATTGACGGAATGGCTCCGCTCCCTTCATTTGCGCTGAGAGCACTCCCCAGCATGTGTTCGCAGGGAACAGCCTTTTGTTATTTACGGGGGAATAGTAGAATATGATGACAAGGAATAATCTTACCATTAATTAATTAGTCCTTACCAAAGCAAATAACAAAGTTGAAATAAAAGATATTATTTTCTTTCTTCATATAAAAAGAAAATACCAACAAATCGTCTTTCTTCATATTACTTTTAATCCTCCAAATCAATTTTTAGGGCATCGGAGAGGAAGGTTGTTTGGTCACTGACACCAAAGCGTTGGAATACCTCTTCCGGTGGGCCCATATATCAGCTTGGATAAGAAAGCGGGCGAGGGAAGCGGCTCAGCTCAATCCCCAACTTCGAACTCCCCACCTCTCCCATTCCCCTTCCCTTTCTAATTCTTCGCTCTCGTAATGGCGAACGCTTCCGCCGCTCCCCTCCATCCCCTTCTCTCCTCTATCATCTCCACGTCGACCTCCTCCAGATCTCACTCCCTCCTCTCTGTTCCCCCCGAATGCGTACCCATCGCCTCCAACCCAAGCAAAGTCTCCGTCACGACCACTGCCGCCGACTCCTCCTTGCGCAAGTCTCCCTTGGTTCGTCGGAGGGACCTTGTTGCCGGGATTGCTTTGGCCGCGGCCTTGACGAAGGAGCCACCCTCTGTGGCGGCCCGGGAGGTCGAGGTGGGCTCCTATCTGCCGCCGGCCCCGACCGACCCCGCTTTCGTCGTCTTCAAAGCCACCTCTAAAGACACTCCCGCTCTTCGTGCCGGTAATTTCTTCTCGGTTTTTCTGTTCTTCCGTTGTGATGCCTAGTATGGTGTATTAAAAATGTGACGAACTACGATCATGGCGGTACTCCTTTTTGTGCTAAAGGATGATTCCATAGTGTTTCATTTGCCATGTCCATATTTCGACATTCTCTGTATTAAATGATTGTGCACTGCCAGCTTATAATGAGCTTTATATTAAAACAACACCCTAAATGGCATGAACGGGAATTTCGTGGTAACTCTGATTTCTGCTGAATTAATTGGCAGCGGTCGATTGTAGTATTCTCTTCTACATTTTGGTTTGGGTTATTTTATGGTGTTAATTAGACCAGTGATTACATGGTCGTTCGGGTTTGTGTCATCGGTCTGCATTTGCCTCATCGGGATTGAGCTCTTTTGGTTTTGTTTAGTTGTTTTTTCCCTAGAGTTCTTCGTGTGTACTTATGAGTATTATGAATTACTTATTTAGGATATCCATTTATAGTCAGATGTCAAAGTTTGAGGCAAAGGTAATCATAAAGAGTTTATAACAGTTGATGGAAATTATTCTTTTTTCCTTTCAGAAAATTTTGGTGTCCTGAAATTTATTTTGATATTGGCTATGTTTCTTGTACGATGAATTGAAATTTATTTTGATGGCTATGTTATATTCTCTACAAGTTTTCGAAAAAAGGTCGAAATGACCAAAAAATAACATAAACTCTTATTAAGGAATTTTTTAATCCTAATCCAATGCAATTTTATTATGTTTAAATAAGAATAGAGTGTATATGGGACATAAATGAATAGGAATTTTAGGTTCTTAATCATGTTTAATCTTCGTAAATATGCATTAGTACTTTTCTAATTATATGTAATGAGCAATAAAATATAGAAAGAACTAAGAAGCTAAATTACTCTCAAATTGGAGAAATTCCATCAGATCTCAAGTTCCAATCCCTTATCCAAATCAATAGTTTTATTACCACTAATTGCTGAGAGTGCGAGAAAGAGTGAGAAAGAGGGTGAGAATGAGAGAGTGAATTGAGAATGAGCGAGAGTTAGTGAAAGACAGGGAGAAGGAGGGTGATTTAAATCCCCAAAAAGGATCCAATGGCCAATTTGACCAATGGGGTCAAATTTGACCTGATTTAGTTCGTCAAATTCCTACCGGTATTGACCCATATCAGCTGATAACTCATGACCGTATCGCCTGATACATCACTCGTGCTGGTCAATACTTGTTTCTTGCGTACCGCTCGAAACAGGCTAGTCCACATTACCAAACAGTTGCATACTAGTACATATCATTTGTTTCGTACCGTTTCACGTGGTACACCAAGCAATGCTTCTACATACTGTGAGTAATGACATGATAGGCGTCAATGCTTTTAGTTGGTTTCTATCTCAATTTTTTTTTGTATAAACACACAATCACACACACATATAAACTTCAAAATTTTTTTAATTTGTACTATCATTGAGATAAGCTTGCTGCATATTAGCTTCGCTCGTTGGTGCTTAGTATATACTATTTTAATTTTCTACGGCACATTCCATGTCTTACAACATTTTGGCATGTTAAGTCATTGCCTGAATGTACCAAATTCAAAATTCAAAACCATGATATGGAATTTCAGATTCAAACAAGCATTGTTTTCCTAGAGAAACACATTCAACGCCATAGTATTTACAATGCAGAACTGGTAACAGTCATCATCAGTATGCCATGCATGCTGCATCCATCATTATACTTTAGCATGATTATCACATTTGAGAATCTCAAGGAACTGCATCTTGCAGGAAATGTGCAACCATATGAATTTATGCTCCCACCAACATGGAAACAAACACGAGTTGCCAACATACTATCTGGAAATTATTGCCAACCAAAATGTGCTGAACCATGGGTGGAGGTCAAATTTGAAGATGAAAAGCAAGGCAAAGTTCAAATTGTGGCTTCTCCATTAGTTCGCCTAACAAACAAACCGAATGCTACAATTGAAGATATTGGTAGCCCTGAGAAGGTGATTGCTTCTCTTGGACCTTTTGTGACTGGAAATACATTCGACTCTGATGAGTTGCTTGAAGCATCCATTGAGAAGAGCGGGGATCAGACGGTAAACTTCTTAACTTCCAACTTGCTTACATAATAACAATTTTAGATTTTTGTTAGTATTGATTTCCTTTTAGTTAAAAATAAATTGAATCTCTGACATGTAAATACTTTAAACCATGGTTTAAAACACTGGTCAGACCTATTTTAGCAGTCTGACCACGCATTGGTAATGGACCATTCAGCTCCGTGTTGCCCATATATCACTTATTTTATTTTTTAAATTATTTTATTCAGAGACATTGGATGCTCTAGTTTGATATGTTATCTGCTATCTTAGTAATGTGCCAGTTCGACAGGTTGTCAAAATCAATATCGAACTGTTACTCAGAACTTTGCTTTAAACATCCAAAATTTGTAGTTGAGTGTAGCCTTCTCGTAATGTAATAATTGTGTTGTGGAATGTGATAACTTAAAATCAAATCAATGGGAATTTCTGAACCATATATTTCTCTTGCTGTTGGGTGCTGCTTATAACACAGATGACCATCAGTAAATTTATGTATAGCCTTGCTTGTAATAGTTTCAACCTGGACTACTTTGATTACCAATTATATCACATTGGAATTGGTGACGAGTAAAACTACGTTGCCTTTCAGTTTCAGGGAATCCTAAATTACGTATTATATGGGCTAATTACATATTACCCCCTGTAGTCAAATCCCTTTAGCATCCCAGTCTCTAGACTTAAAAAATTTATATTTAAATCTCTATATTTATGTAAGTGAAACATCTTACTTCATTTGCCCTAACATCGTTGGTTTTACCGACGGAAGTACGAAAACGATAGGCAAAAAGTAATTTCAACATCCTAATTACGTTTTCGGTGGTGGTGGACAACGATGTCCCTGGGGGCCGCGGGTGGTTGTTGTGGATAAAGAGGAAGAGCGGCAACGAGAGGTGAGGCAAAGGGAGAGGAGGAAGAGGATGACACAGATGTTAATGCTCTGCATCAATGTCAGAATCGACAACGATGCGGGGAAGGGCGACATCGCTCTACATTTGCATCGGCACCGATGTAGATGTCGAGTGGTGCCGACATAGTTGCTGAGCGACGTCAACGCAGATGCAGAGCGTCGATATTTGCATCATCCTCTTTTTCCTCTCCCTTTGCCTCACCACTTGCTGCTTTCTCCCTCCTCATCCATAACAGGCACCCGTGGCCACTAGTAGCGTCGGCATCCGTCACTATCAAAAATGTTACTAGGACGTTGAAATTATCTTTTTGCCCATTGTTTTCGTGCTTCCATTGGTAAAACCAACGATATTAGGGTAAATAGAGCTAGATGTTTCACTTTCATAATTATAGGGGTTCCAATGTAAATTTTTAAGTCTAGAGACCAGGATGCTAAAGAAGTCTAACTATAGGGGGTAATCTGTAATTAGCCTGTATTATCTTTAGCTTTCAAGTTACGTGAGATGAACTCATTTGCATGAGATGAAAATTAAAGACAATAACTTCATATGAAGTGTATGGAAACACCAAAAGTGCTAATGTATATCATGTTGTTTAGCTTATTGGAACTTTGATGCATTTAAACCTTGAGATTATAATACATTGGATTTGATTAAAATATTATATTCAACTTTGTGTATATGTTTGGTATTGAGAGAATTGCATGGGTTTTATTATGTCTTTGACCTTTTCTCATGCTCCAGGTTCAGCTTATTACTTCAAATAGCACATACAAAATGGCTTCATTTTTCAATGTATTGCATTATGAGATACGTAGATTATGTTACAGGTAATTAACCATGGTGACTGTGTTTTCATGGAGACTAATGTTCGTTGGTTTGGACAACAGAAAAGATCAATAAGTTATCCCTTTCCATTTTGGCACACCGATGGCAAATACATGCAAAAATTGATGGTCTCTTTTACTTTATTGTTGCTGCAGAATGAATCTAAGACCATATTGGCATGTTATAATGCAAAACAACATATGGTCCATATTAGACCATATGGTCTAATGCATATTATCATTTTTAAGAGGACTTCTGCATATTATATGGTCTTGCATTTTTCTCCATTTGTGCACTTTGTGCTGATAAAATTATCATTTTTATAATATGCATTATAAAACCATATTAGGAAAATGGTTTAGGAGGACTCAGATTTGACTTCAATATAATTTGAGAAAAATATACGACGAACGTGAAATGGATCTAGTCCATGAATGGGCATGCCACAAATTGGTGCCCATCTTGAGGCATGAGTCACAGATGTGGTGAACAACCAGAAGCGAACTGGCCCCCAACCCCTCCCCTCTCACCATCTGGATGTTTGCCACTTTCAGGACTCATGTTTAAGTCACACATTGTGCCATGGTATGTGGCATTGTTCCTGAAGAGGTACTAGCAGTGGCGTGGATTGAGAAACCATGACTGGGACTGAGAGTGGTAGGCACTAGAATTTAAGATCATAATCAAGTTAGGTTTGTTGATCATCTGAATCAGACCTCTGATTGATTAATCTAAATCAACAAAAGGTTGCTCAAGATATGCATGTTTGAGATCAATTAGTAAGTGGTCAGTATTGGTTGGAGTTCTTTTGTTGTTTGGTACCAACCAAGTTTAGTCAAGATCAGCTGTCGATCGGTTGATTTTAGTTGATTCTTAAGCAGTTCTATGTTGTTTTGGTTTATTTCTAATTTTTCAGGTAGGGTGTTCTTTTGTATCATGAGTGTTTAGTGTCATACTTTATTCATTTCATGTATCACTTTGTTTCTTTTCATTAAGTATTTCCGATTACATCTACAGTAACAAACATAACTTAAGTCAAGTAGAGAATAAAAGCCTAAAGAGCTATTAGCTAAACTTTGCATGGTAATAAACTGTGGTGTCCGAGATATTTTCCTTAACTGGTGAGATGCTAGAGATTCACATCCTAAGACAATGTTTCCCTCATATATTGTTCACTTATAAATTATAATAGATTCTACTTTCCCTTCAGTAAATTGTGTTTTCAGTGATTTCTTAGACTCCTTGGATTGTGGGCGCCAACTCAAGATGATATTACACAATGACAAATTTTATGGGTTTTTTTTTATGAATATTCAAGAAAAACAGTTACTACCTATTGGCTTCTGATCCAATTTTATTTTCGGTTGCAGTATTACAAATACGAGCTTGAGACTCCATTTGCTTTGACTGGTTCACATAATCTAGCAAAGGCAACTGCCAAAGGAAATACTGTAATCTTATTTGTAGCAAGTGCCAGTGACAAACAATGGCCACTCTCAGAGAAGGTTCTCAAAGCAATGCTTGAATCATTTAAAATATAGATCAAAACATATGTAGTGATGAGAAAATGTCAAATGTGATTATCCATAATTTTCTTTTCTGATGTTGCTTAATGTAAATGAAATATGGATAATTGATGAATTGCCAATTCTGTAACATTATAATGGATGTGCTACACCTAATCTTCCATGCTGCTCATACTTATTGAGAATATTCATTTTTTGTTTTTCTTAAGAGTAAATTAGCAGCTCACGGTTAATGCTTGGAAAGGAGATGAACTCCATTTAATATCTTTTGCTCAATGAAGTTGTAGCAATAGTGTTTGTTGCGTGCCAAAGTTTCATTTCCATTGACATTGTGATTGTCGTGCAATATGATTCTTGTTTGGGATGTGTTATTCTGGTGTTTCCTTTGGTGATTTTTGTAAAAGTTTATACAAATTAATGAATGTTGAGTTTTGCAAACAATTGTTTTTTACATTCTTAGTGACAGTCAAATCTGAATGGGTAGTTCTCGTCAATGAGCTAATTACATATTATCCCTTATAGTTAATTATCTTTAGTATCTCGATCTCTACACTTTAAATTTACCAACGGAAATACGTAAACAAAGGGTAAAATTTTTTTTAATGTTTTAGTTGGTAGTGTATACGATGTCGGTAGTGACGAATAGTGATGCTATTAGGGGTCGTATGTGATTTTTGTGGATGAGGAGACCGACGGCGAGAAATGAGGATCGCTTGATAACTATGTCGATGATGGGTATGATGGCGTACTGAACGTCAAATTTTAGGATCCACATTTTTCTATCGTCGTCGAATACGTTCATCGAGAGCTCGATAATCGCTCGCTTGTCATTCTTCCAAAGCTTCCCTCCCCAGTTTATGACAACCATGGGGAATAAAACTCCAACAAACCCCCCATCTCTTCTTTTTTATGCTTATGTCGGAACTGACATGGCATTAGGAGGAGTAACAGGAGCTCCGACGACCCCAACTTTGGGTCGAGCGATTTGCCTAATGGGGTCAACAGTAAGACAATCACTATCTTTGCCTTAGATAGCACGACAACCATCACAATATGCATCAGCATCGATGTAGTTGTCTAGCGGCAAAAGGGTCGCTCAACATCTGTATCAACGCCGATGTAGATACAGAGTGGCGTTGCTTAGCAACTACGTTGACGCTGACACAGTTATCGAACGGTGAAAAGGCTATAAGTGCATATGTCGAGTGGATCTTTTGTCGCTTGGCAACTGCATTAGCGTCGACACAAATGGTGGTGGTCGTCGTGATGTCTATGGCGAAGATGGTGAACACCTCATCGCTGACCCATTGGACGAATTGCTTAACTTGAAGCTGGGGTCGTCAGAGCTCCTGCCACCCCCCTACTGGCACTTCCCTACTATCGTGTTAGTTCCGACATGGGCATGAAAAAGGGGAGATGGGGGGCTTGTTGGAGGAGTTTTATTTGTCATGGTTGTCATCAACCGGGAAAGGATGCTCTAGAAGGCTGGCAAGCGAGTGGTTGTCGAACTCTCGACAGACATATCCGACGGTGGTAGAAAAAATGTGGGTCTTGGAATTCAATGCTAAGTACATTGTTGTACCCATTGTCAACATAGTTATCGAGCAACCCTTACATCTCACCGTCACTCTCCTTATCCACAATAGCCTCCTACGGCCCCCAGCAGTGTCGTCGTCCGCCACCATCAACTGAAATATTAAAATTATTTTTTTACCCTTTAATTTTATGTTTCCATTAGTAAAACCAACGATATTCGGATAAATAGATCTAGATGTTAAAATGTAGGAATCGGGATGTTAAAAGTAGCTAACTACATTAGGTAATATCTAATTAGCCCCTTGTAAACATGTTTGACTTATCGTATTAAAGTTAGTTTAAATATTATTTTATATCAATTCAATCATAACAAAACATGTTACTATAAAGGAGACTTCTGCGCATTGCACTCCTCTTATCATCTCAACCTCTCCCCTATTCCGAATAAAAAAAATGAACATGATAGAAATAATTTAGGCAATGCAGGATTTGTATCGCATATCTCGCATTAGAAGGTCATAGAGGTTAGTGGACCATCCATTTTGTTTTATATCATCTCATTCATTTGTTTGATTTTTGTCAAAGCAACATTTGGATATTTCCTCTTTATTTGATTAAATGGATGATTAACATATAGAAAGAGATGGATGGATGAATAGCTTTTGGAGAATCCTATGGCATTCTCATGGATGATAGCTTGTGCATGATTCTGGGGAATCCTTTATGCTTTTTTTCCTTTCTCCTTGTTAGATCGTCCATCACACAATCGAAGTCGACTTGTGAGTTTGACTAAGGTTGATGTGTGAGTACGAAGATTCGGATCGAAACTTTACAAAAGCTTGTCATTGGGGAAGTCTTCGATAAAATCTTTTTGAGACTCAAATTAGTAAGAATTCGAAAAATTCGATCAATTGTCGAGATTAAAAGTATATTTAGCCAGAGGTAACAGACTGAACGATTATGTAGAATTTATCGAAAGAATTCGATAAATTCCCTTTTTATACATGGTTATGGTTATTATGTAGAATTTGCATTCGACTTCTTTATGTAGTTCATGGTGAAGGAACAGACTGAACGATTGCATTTGTAGAGTGACTCACTTCGAGTTGTGACAACTTTCACCAAATCCCATCCCATCTTTCCTACTTAAGTTTTGCTTACAAGAGGGAAAAAAGAACTTAAATACGTGCACCAAAGCTGCAGGAGCATGGTGCGGTGAACATGGACATTCGAGGAACATGCACTCGTCACATTTCGTTCTTATTCCAAAAGTCGAAGCATGTAATGATGAGGAAGACATCAACCGGAGGAGGAATGCCATCGACGTCGATGATTTCAGGCGATGGCGCCGCCGTAGGATAGGATTCTTGGGGCAGGCTGCAGGATAGGATTCAGCGTTTGCTAGTGCAGGAAGCCTTTAGCAAAATCGAAAGGTTTCTTTCTCAAGTTAAAAAAATATTTTAATAAATTTTATCATCAATTTCTTATCGACGTATATTCCTCCGTATCATTTCTCATCTTTCGACCGATAGAAGAAGGTCTTCTTCTTGAGAGCAATATTTGGTGAATATTCGAATATTCTTCCCAAAGGGAATCGTGATACTCTCTCAAGAATTCACACTTTAAATTGTCCGCTCAACATGCTCCTTGAGCATTTTTACTGTAAGATGATATTGTCCAAGTAAACGATCACAAACTTATCTAAATGTTATTTGAATAGTTAGTTCATGAGAGTGCAGAATGTGGCTGAAGCGTTGGTTAAGTCACAAGGCATCATCAAGAACTCGAACACTCTATACCCGATCATATAGATAGTCTTCGCTTCATCGCCTTCAGCAATGTGCGCCTGCTAGTAACCCGACTGAAGGTCGAGTTTGGAGAAATACTTTGCTTTGCCTAGTTGGTCGAACAAGTTTGCGATGAGCGGGATGTGATACTTGTTCTTCACCATCATCTTGTTTAGGGTCCGATAATCGATGCATAATTAGAAGCTCTCATCTTGTTTCTTCTGGAAGAGGATTGGAGCTCCGAATGGTGCTTTAGAATTATGGATGAGACCACCACTCAGTAGTTCATCTAACTACTTCTTGAGTTCTACCAACTCTAGAGAGGTCATGCAATATGGTGGTCTCACTATAGGCTTTACTTCTAGCTTCAGCTCGATGCGATGATCCATGCCTCTGCATGACGATAGATTTTTTTAGCAACTTGGGTAGCATAACGTCAACGAACTCCTTTAAAAAATCCACCATCACAATAGGTTCATGAGTAGCCTCCACATCAAGTGGCTCTAGTTTTACTATGACTACAAAAGTTAATTTGCCTTTTCATATCCCATTTTTTAATTATAAAGTAGATATTTGTTGAGGATCCTTAGTTCCTTCACAATAAACTGAAACCACGAAGGGGTCATCACCTCCCATTAGGCATAAGAAGTTCTGGGACGACATTGGCACCAACTTCACTATATGCACCATTCCAAGGATCACTTGGAAGTCGTCTAGTAGCACTGCCATCATATTTATGCTTTCACTCCATGTTACGATTGCTCCGACCACATCAGTAACATTCCTTCGATGCAGTTCTTATTGTACCCACGACTTCACGCCATCGAGGAAGCTAGACAACTTGTCCTTCTCGGGCATGTATTGTATGTTCAGCATTAGTACAGAAAATTGCTTTACGTAGTCCCGAATAGAAGTATTTTGGTGGAGTTGTCTCAGCTTGCTTCTTGCAACGAACTCTGTGTTCTCGGCTAGGAACTAATCTCTCAACTCCCGCTTCAAGTCATCCCATGTTGCCACTCGACAGCAACCTTGTTGATCTCTTCCTAATATGTTCATCACTAAAGTTTTGCAATCAAAATTTTGGTTTCTTCGTAATGGGGTCTCGTAGCTCGAAAGTACTATTCCATGTCAAATAGGAAATTCTCGAGCTTCTTCGCATCCCCAGCACCCTATAGTAATGCGACTCTAGTGCCTTCAAGTTTTGTGGTGGAGCAATACGAGTGTTGCTCCTTCTCGCATTAAGAGCTATTATGAGCAATGTAATCCTAGACATGAGTTTCGCTACGATTTCGTATAGGTGTTGCATAGAGTCTTTGGTGTCTTTCGTCATTCGATTTACTCGGGACTTGACTTTGTCGACTTGAGATTTCGTCTCCTTCTGCAAGTTGTCCACCACAAGAAGTCTTTGTTGGCTTTGGTAGAATTCTTTTAGACTCGTAAAGTGAGTTCCTCTCCCCCTCGCGTTGTCACCGTCGTCCAGAGCCCTCACGATCAACGACGACTACGAGGATGAGTGCAAGGGGAAGAGGTGGATGGGACGAAGCCGACCATGAGAGCTCTCACCGACAATGATAATAGGAGGGGGAGAGGAGACGACATGCTGGGTGGCAACAGTTGTGAGGAGAGGAGTGAGCGCAAGGGGGAGAGGAGGTGGATGGGGCAAAGCCGACCATGAGAGCTCCGGGCGACCATAATAGCTCTCACCAACAATGATAATATGAGGGGGAGAGGAGGTGATGTGCTGGGTGGCAACGGTGGAGAGGAGGTAGAGGGCAATAGCTACATTAGCATCGACACTAACGATGCTACCATCCACCATCCCCTAAATATTAAAATTATCTTTTCATCATTTGTTTTCATATTTTCGTTAATAAAATTAATATCATTAAAATAAATAGACCTAAATATTTTATTTTTATAACTATAAAAAATAAAGAAGATTATGCTAAGGATGACTAACTACAAAAATAATAATAATAATAATAATATGTAATTAGCTCAATGCAAAAATGAATGAACTACATTGAGATATCTAAATAGAATAAGGAATCCTTTACTATTAGTTCCTTTATCACACGTATGATTTTGATTACACACGAGTTGATGGTTTCATATAAAACGAGAAATAACATTCTTTGATCTGCAAAGAAGGCTGTTTTAGATGGACGACTGCAGAACTAAGCCTCGTGCATACGCGAAGCGAAAAGAATACGACAGGAAAGAGACAAGTGCAAGTGCCTATAGCAATGCAAATATGCATAACGCCGACAGATGAATTCACAAAAATGCAAATGCACTAAGAAGCGAGCGACTGCACACAAGCATACACCCCTCTTCTTGGCCTCTTAATGCTTTCCCATATGGTCGTCGCTTCAGAGTCCAAAATCTACATGGAGTTGAATGATAGGAGCATCTGCAGCGATCATAGAACCAACATTAGGCAACACAATAATATGCATTAGTCTTTTGTAAAGCCAAAAACAAGGGATGTTTTTGGCAACATGATCATGCCTTCTTCCTCCTACCAAAATCCAAAAGCAAGAGGTGTTCCACTTGGAGGTGGAATCGATCGTAAAGCTTCTCATCCTCATAATCATAAAACATGCAATGGGTTGGGGCTCGGATTCGAGTTAATTCTTGCGCATTTACCCTTGTCAATCATCAGAAGAATCATTGAAGGTAAAACAGGAGAGACAACTGTGATGATTCATCAAAACATTATATGACAATAATTATGAACAATAATGATTTAGGCATGGATCAAAAGAGCTGCATAAAGGAACATCAAACTATTTTTCTAGTTTTGATATGTACGTAATGATATCTTAGAAATAGAGTCTATATCCAAAGGTAAGCCCGTGATACATTGCCACTTCCCATCCCCACGTTGACGAGTCTCGTGCATTGTGTTCATATGTAAAGAATTATAATTGAAATTCAAGAAAGATCCCCAGAACAAAATGTCCTTCTAAGGATTATCCATAGACATTTTGTGCATGTTGTACTTGTAATATAAAAACAAAAAAGATCCTAGGAAGTAGTTCACTTACATGAAAGCAATATTATTAAATTTGAAGGGGATTACAATTCATCCATGTACGAAAACCAATTTAGGATAGGTTACATGATTGACATTTGTAAGAACCTAGAATATAGAGTTGAGGAATTCTCGGCGTCCAGTTGGAATAAAAGAAATTATGCCCATTTTTTATGGCAGTTATGACTCCGACATGCTTCCTTTGCACTATTGAAACTTAGATATCCAAAAAATTTAAATAGGTACAGAATAAGATTATCAAAAATGGACATTGTAGAAGATAATGATGGCCTTTGGAAATTCTGAATTTTAATCATTTAACTTCTGCAGTTCTTGGTTAATGTTTTGGTGAAACCGAGCATGGTTGTTTACCAGAAAGTTCCATTATTTCTAGGTGTTGAAAGGCAAGAGTTGCACAAGATAATTAGTACCTGATCTTTGGATGGTTGCCTTATTATGAAAGTTTCTTTGCCTGTGCCCCTGCAAAATAAAATGTATATTGTGTTAATTGGATGACACAAATAAAGTCAGGCAGAGACCCGTTGATAAATAAAAATGTACAAGATAGTGAAATGTTCAAATGATCTACAATAAAATCATCAGATGCAACCACTCTACAAACACAAGATAGAAGAGATTACTAAGTAAAAATTAAATTTCCAAGAATATTAAAATTTTGCTTGAGGAAATATTTTTACGTGATATCAGTGCTTTGGGTCTAGTCTTGAACAGGATTTTCTGGCGAATGATTCCAATGACTTCCAGTTCTGTGGCAGAGGAAGCAGGAAATTCAGGCCCTGCAGCATCTACTGCTGCCTTTTTCTTTAACACCAATAGTGGTTTCTTCAACTGTACTTTTGTGCCAGAGAGTTCATGGTAACCAACAGTGAAGATGTAGCTTAGCTGCAGCACAAATGAACAAGAAATGTCAGGGTAAACATAAAAAGAAATTGGGTAACCAGAGACTGCGAATGCAGGAACATAGACTGACCTGAGAGGAAGAAGACAACGAAGAGCAGCAGAGATGTCCAATCTCAAGACCATTGATCTGATCACTGATAGCTAACTGGGATTCAACAACACCCTGGAGTTCAATTATCGCCCACTCAGGGCATTTCCCATCACCACAGTTGCACTTTACCTGTATCTGCATCGTGCACTCCTGCCTCTAATAAGACTGAGAGACAGGGAGGGTTTCTGACAAGGAATATCCCAGATGTCTCACAGAAAATTCTCAATATTTCCTGTTCAAAAGTTAAGAAAAACAACTTTAAGGATCGCTGACAAAACAATTTTGGTTTTGAAAACCTTCAATTAAACAAGAAATGCGAGGCACTGATGATATCTAGAAGTGATGATTAGGTCACAGAGGAACAGAGAAGAGTGGCCTATAATTTGCCTAATGTATTTTCCAGTCATTTAAAATGAACAAAGTTATCTTCCAAAACCAAGAGAAACTATAAAGTAAATAAGCTGTTAAATAGGAAGCAAAACAAACATAACCACATACAATACCAGTAAAATTCTATCAATAGGATAACAAGTCATCTATAATGGATATTTCTGTCCTCAGCATCCATTTGAATAGTTCAAAACTAAATTAAGACAAAATAGCTTTAAAGTCTACAACTAATTAAGCTTATATATTCAAGGAATGGAGATATTAAAATCACGAAAAAATAACACAGTAGTTTTCTGACTTAGCTAGAACTACAGGAACATGAAAGAAAAAAAGTATCTTTCATCTACCATTGTGGTGAACAAAATTATCGTCCTAACAGGGTAAAGCAACAAAAGAACATGTAGTCTTCACTAAGCCAAGAGATCGTATAGGAGGTGATCAAGGCTCCTGAGAAAAATCTAATAGGAGGTTCAAAAGATTGCAGTGGCAGCAAATATTCAACTTATATAAATGACTCACGTATAGATGGGAGTGCCGATTTTGTCAACCACATTGCCTGATCTAGATAGCCCAGGAAAAGAAAAAAAAACAAAAGTGAAGATGAGAGAAGTAGAGGAGTTAAAAAGAGAAAAAGAAAAGTCAACAAAGGGTGACTGCAGTGCTCAGCAGCATAGCTCTTGAATGCAGTCTTGGCAAGGTTCAAATCTCAGTCGTGCTCGAAAATACGGATCATTATCTACCAACCTGACCATGTACTAACATTAAAACACATAACTTGATACCATTACAAAATCATTTATCTTATTATTTTATTGAAAAAAAATCAGATGATACGGGTTGGTATACCAGCATTGTACCAGTTTAATAGGTCATTAGAACAAGTATTCGACCATGATCAAATCATTAGTCATCTGAGCAGTGCTCTTTGCCATACCTATGAGAGCACGAAGCCAAAGGAAAAAAAACACTTGACAATGAAGTGACCAAGGTAATTTCAGCCATTGATCCCATTTGACCAGTACTACCCCATAAGCTCACCTTCTTAAATATCAAGTGATTGCTTTCCATCAAATGCTAAACATATCATTCTGGTTTCCCTCTCTTTTACTCTTTTTTAACATGTCATTGTAGTTATGTGTATACTTAATCATCAAATGTATCTTTGTGCAACATTATACTTCTAGAATTTTAATTTCACATGCAAGATTCTTGAGCTTCTGGATAAGGAATTTTCATGCCAAACCTAATCAGATTTTTCTGGTAGTTAAGCTTCTTCTTGTTATTAGTGTTCAAATAGTTAATCGTGTATAAATATAACTCTTTTTCCCCACGAATAAATCTGGATACCTAAGAAATAAGAGAGGTGAGGAGAGAACAGAACAAGAGAAAGGAAGAGAAGAGATCACATGAGAGGGGGAGGTAGGGGAGGATAAAGTAGGGCAGGGGAAGTGTAGAGAGCACAAGAGAGGGGAGGAGAGGAAAGAACAGGAATGGGAGGAGAAGAGACGAGAGAAGAGAACAGTACCAGCGAGTGGAGGCAGCTTGGCCTGCGACAACGGCGGAGGGAGATGACGGCTTGCGTCAGCGGCAGGGAGGAGGTGGCTAGGCCAGCGATGTTGGCAGCGGCAGCAACGAAGAATCTAGGGCTCGCTAGTCGCGCGTCCCCTGGCTTCCCGGGCACGCCGCCTCCACTTCTCCTTCAGAGAAATAGGAAGATACTTGTCTTCAGAAAAGAAGAGGGAGAGATCAATGCCGGGAAGGTGCACCGCAGAGGAGATCGGCGAGAGGAGGGAACGAGTGAGGCGGACGAAGGTACATGCGATAGTGGAAATTTTAGGTTTCGGCTCGGGCGGGGGTTGGGTTGGGTCGGGATTAGGTTGACCCAAACCAAACCCGACACGGGTTTTCCTTGTCAACGCTTCGATTGCAGATGGGTTGCATCGAATTAGGCCGAGTTGGATCGGGTTCCTACATTTTAAGTACACCTGGTTAAAATGTTTTCCAAATATAAAAATCATAGAACAATCGAAACCCAATTCAAGATGACCTTTAGATTTTCCAGTAAACACAGAGGGTTTAATTGGGTTGGGTCAACCAAGTTCGCATTGAAACCAAACCCAATCCAAGTATGAAGCTTGCTTTCACTTCAACATTCCCACATCCAGTATCTTTTGACAACAATATCAAGCACAGAGTTCGATTAAGTTGCAATCTTCCACACATTTATTCATCCATCAAACAGCAAGTGCAGTTTATATTCTTCATATAAGAACATACCATGCAAATCTATTTCTCACAGTAGGAGTAGTATTTAGTGGCAGGATTAGATATCCACATGATATTATTGCCTATTACCGGCATATCATATACGAGAACAAACCTCTAGATAACTCCATGTTTTATTCATGGCTTCGCTGCATGCATTGCAATCTTCCTCTCGAGGCCGCTCTTATCAGCCCCAACAACTTTGTCGACTTCTTTCCCATCTTTCACAAAGAAAAAAGTTGGTACACTGTTGACATTCCAGCGATGAGCATCGTTCCCGAGTTCATCTATATCGACTTTCAGAAACACAATGTTGCGGTGCTTCTCTGCTAAAGCTTTGTAAATGGGTGCCATGAAGCGGCAGGGCCCGCACCATGTTGCAGTAAAATATAGAATGACTAATCTACTCAAGCGCACTGCAGCCGTCATTTTCGTTTGCAGTTCGTTCGAAGAGTGAATGCTTATAACACTTCCTGCCAATTAAAGCAAAAAGAACAGATATATCTTCATTACAACAAGGGCTTAACAGAAGGAACCATGGAATCAAAATAATAACTCAAGTTCTCAAGAAAAGTAATGCTGTCATACGAATGTAAACCTGCTCGCATGTATAGTAGAGATAATCAATCAAAACATTACACCATAACCTATGTTAACTTGTGGTATGCAGAATGTAAACCTGCTCGCATATATAGTAGAGATAATCAATCAAAACATTACACCATAACCTATGTTATCTTGTGGTATGCAGTATCTATCTTGGTTGCGTATTGAAAAGTTGTCGCCATCCCTTATCTTGGATAATAGAGTATTTGGCTTCCTAGTGGCAAGGATTTGATCCCCATGCTTTATGCCTTGCACACATGTCTTACTTTTATGGTCCAATAAGTTACCAATGATCAATAAAAGAAATCAAGGATGCCGGAGAATGAAACAAATCAAATAAATCTGAATATCAAGCTACAAATTATAATTGAGACAGAATGCATATAAGTTCAATAGCAGCCAGAAGACTATGAACAAAGGAGTCATGGAAAACTAGTTATGGTCCAATAAGTTAACAATGTTCACTAGAAAAACATCAAGAATGGCAGAGAATGAAAAAATAGGTAAATCTGATATATCAAGCTACAAATTGCAAATGCTGATGCATGATAATACAAGTACCAAGCTGACAAGCAGCTATCCTGATAATATAATATTGATCACTGACATCATTCCATTTTATAGGGCCTTCAAGTAGCTCTTAGTTTAAAAGTAAAGAAAAAGCTTTTAATCAAGCAAACTAAGGGGATGGCCCAACCTACAAGACCTTTGCGTATTTTTTGGCATATGATTGCAACAAGAAAACATAAAAGGAAAAGAACTTGTATGGAAGTGATATACCATCCTGTAGAGCAGCAAGAGAATCGGGGTCTTTTGGCTCAGCATCCTGCTTCAGATTTGGAATTTGATCATATATTTAATATAGTCAGGTTAATATGGGACACAATATCAACATACATAACACAAGCACTCTAAAATAAGGTTTCAAGGATGATAGAACATGATGTCAAGAAAGGAAGTTCTTACAAATGCTTTATTTTCTGAAGTTGACTCCTTTTTCCCCCTCTCATATACAGCCTGTGCAAGATAAGTATACATAATAGGACCAACAATGCTCTTATCATGACTACAGGTATCATGGAAGATAAAGAGTTAATATAAGCAGAAAGGAAAAGAAATACGTTAGCTTCAGCACGCTGGCGTTGCCTTTCACGTTCAATTTTTTGTGCTTCTCTCTCTTTCCTCAAGCGCTCATATTTTCTGCGATGTTCCTCAATTCTGTGTGCATTAGGCTCAACCTGCAGTTTACAATCCATTAGTTGAAAAGTTCTCCAGCACCTTATTCACAAAATTTATTAACCTTTTTAAGCACTGAATTTATCTCCTCATCATAATCAAGTTTTGATGCCACATGCAGGTCACTTGCAGCTTCTTCCCACTGGCCTAACATAGCTTTTGCCATTCCTCTATATTTGTATCCTTTGGCAGAGTCAGGATTTATCTAAGCAGACAAACTGATAAGGATACATGATATGGAAATGCATATCATCATTAATGATCAACTTCCAGGTTGTCAAAATATGAGATAAGAACCTGCAAAGCTGCATCCGAATCACGTATAGCAGCATTTGGCTTATGCAGCTTGACAAAAACACTAGCTGAAAAATAAGACATACATCAATACAGGAATAAGACATTATAAAAACCAAAGCGTCACTCACAAATCTAATCAAACAGAAGTTGTTTTAAATAAAACAATCATTACCTCTAGTGGCGTATAAGATAGCTGAACTTGGGTTCAACAAGATCGCTTCCGTAAGAAACTCAATTGATTCATCCAACTTACCTGGTCAACATAATTATACAGTTAGAAATGGTGACCGATTCACATTTGTCATCAATGATAGAACAAATTTAATTGAAAGCAAATTTTAGCCTGCCTTCTGACATTGCATTCATAGCCTTTGCTTTGCACATCTGAGCAACATCACGACTCTCCTCGGAAACTTCAGTTGATGGATCTCCCATCTTGGCAGTAGACCGAAATCAAAATTCAAATTCAGAAAAAAATATCTAGGCTGATAGTGTGCCTTCACATTGACTAACTCAAAACATACCTTTTGTGGAGGACCATTGTCAGGTTCCACCAGCTCACCATCCAGCTCCATATCTGACTCGATAATTTCATCCTCAATGGCAGCATCTTCGGGCTTCTGGTAAGGCTTCTTGTCTACAGAATCTGGTGCAGCTTTTGTCATCTCATCATCATTTTCACCCTTCATAGGATTTTTCTGCGATTACCAATTGAAAATTCTAAATGGTTTTCCGTACCAGTAATTATATTTAGAATTCTTCACGACTTGAATAGACAGAAAAACAGAATGTCTAAATTTTGGTCTCCAAACATTAAACAGAGTGACAAAGGAGTAATTGCTAATTCCTGTGAGTTATTGTAACTCATCAAACAGAATGATACTAAATCTGCCTTCTATAAACCAAGAAATTTAACTAAGAGAAGATAACAACAAGCTCGTTATGAGGTCAAGGACAAGGAAGTTGTGAACAAATTAATGAAAATATATAGCATATTTCATATTTCTGCTACAGCAGAAGCCTGGATAAAGATCATGATAGTAATATAGACCTAATACATCACTTATGAGAAGACCTTTGTACAAATGACCAATGTTAACTGGTCTATGCATGTACCACTATCATATAGCTTAATACCAGAATAAACAATATCATCAATCTTCGTTTTTCTGTATCATTTTAGTTAATGGTATCGGGTATGTACCATACTGATTCATAGGTGAGCAAAATCAGATCACACTAGTCTTTAAATCCTTAAATATGACAACCCTAAAATAATCAAGCAAGGAGAAAAGTAATATATCCATTTGCTTGTTTTGCTAAATACACAGATTACACACAATGTTCTAAAATCTATGTCCAATGCCGTAACCGGTCAGCAATCGAACTGGTACAACGTTGATACCATACAGAGTATCAGGTATAGGTGCCAATATGGGTCAGTACCAGCCTTACCACTACCGGAAGAGAGATGGCTGCAGGGAAGAGATGGCAGCGGGAGGAGACGACCATGTGAATGAACAACTGAGGAGAAGTGGTGGTGGCAAGGTAGAGGGTGACATGGCAAATACAAATGAGTAACAAGGAAGAGGATGAACAGTGGCAGCGACAAGCAGGCATGTGAAATAAATGAGTGTAAGAAGAAGAAGCAACAGTAGTGAAAAAATATAAAAAAAGAATACAGAGGCATGATGGATTCTGATACCGAACAGTAATTTTATCATCCGATACAACTTGATACTAATCAATTTACATCTAGCAAGCCTGATACAGTGAACTTACTTGGCAGTATGCTTGGTTCCAGCTTCCACGCATCGGTCGACGATCTAACTAGAGAAAATTGATATATACTAACTGGTACAATCAAACTCTAATCCTTGATCACCCATTTTAGACTTATTCACAATTTACCTTGAAAGGAGCTTAAACTGATTGGTCCACCTTAATTGAACTCCAATGTAGTGCCACCTTTAGCAATCTAAACAACCAGAGGCAGGTCTAGAATCATGAAACTTGATAGCTCTTGATGTATAAAGACAATTACTAATGAGTTTGTAGCAGTTAAGGTTCACATATATGTTCTAAATAACTGATTTTTTTTTTTTAAATCATCAATTAAAGATTCACAAAGAAATTCAGCAAAAGTTCATATAGAGGATGCAAAAGGCCAAAAGCTACAGTTGAGAGTAGAGCGGTGAATATAAAGCTGAAATCAAAGATTTTAGCAGAACCTACAAGTCAAAAAAAAGTGTGTTGTTGATGTGGTCATCCAAACATAAATAATGAAATAGGCACAAGCTGATCCTATATAAGAAAACCCCGATCTTAGAATAATAATAAGAAGAAAAGTTGTGGAAGACACATGCTCTAATATCTATGTTAATGTTGTCACCCCACAAAAAGCTACCAAAAGAAGGTTCTAGTACTCTCAACGTGAATCACAATTGTAAAATAACTTGTCTAACCATGCTAGATGAATTTTGGGACTCACATGAACTAAAGACTCCCTAAACTAACTACTAATCATGACCACAAAATCAGCTCAAAAAATAAAAAAATTTAAAAGTCTAATATATTTCTTATTCTAGTTAGAAAAGGTATATTGACTGATAGTATTTATTTTGAATAACCCTTGAGCAGTACAAGATTATCGTAGAGGCCTTCTTTTCTTTCTAATAAATTATCATAGCGGCCTTCTTTCCTTTCTAATAAACCTTAAGATTTCCAAAAAAAATACCATTCTAATTTATGAAACATGCTTGCCTCTTCTCCCACTTGATCTAAGTATCCTTTTTTAGCCTATAAAATAACCTTGTGAGCATCCAAAATCAACCAACAACCATCCAAATGAAGTAGGAATCAATTGATGTCGTGCAGGGCATTGCTATGATTGATCTTGGCTCTAAAGGTCTGATCCAACCCTTACCATAGTTGGCCAAGGTGTGGGACTCATGATGGATGGTCTAGCTCTCGCTACTCAATCACATTATATATATACATACATATACATATATATACATATACATACATATACATATACATATACATATATATACATACATATACATATACTTATACATATATATACATACATATACATATACTTATACATATATATATATATATATATATATATATATATATATATATATATATATATATATACCACAAATATAAAAGAGAAGTATAGAAAATTAGTCTACATATGCACATCGCTTGCCACCTGTTATTAGAAGGAAAAATATTTCTATTGGTTTCTACACACCCAGTGTAACAAAAGAACAGACAACTTCAATGCTAAGGCACTTTTGTCAGTCCTGTCCACCACACTGAGTAGGTTGGATAGCAGAGTTAAGCAAGCAAAGCTAAGATCTTCTCATTTTGACAGTGATAAAATTATATCCCTAATTTAAGTGATTTGAATATACTTCTACGAAAGAAGGAAGTCTTCTGATGGTCTTTGTAAAATTATCAGTTCATAAGTGAGTGCATGTGATGCCAACAAATGGAGCTGTGCATTCTATACATGTATATGTCTAACAGTTCAATTTTTAAAGGTAATATACTCGTACGGTAGCAGATGCCACTTGCAGGCTCACTAGTTGTCTAATCTAACCAATTGATGGGCACTAATATTAGTATGCAAGTATCACTAGAGTAGATGAACAGAAGATGAGATTTCGATGATTCCATAAACAAGAAAGAGTATCTTTTTGAATTTTTACAAACTCAACAAGCAGCAAATCAACCAATCAAAAATCAGAGTTCGCGAATTACTATATCAAAATATGGCAGTAAAAAGAAAATGCAGCAATCGTAAACATTGTTCAGCACAAATATTGAAGAAAGACATGATACAGAAAATCTATTAACCAAATGCTAAATAAGCCATTGCAAATGCTTCTGATACCAAAGTTATTCGCACGAGAACAATAATGAACCCTACCGAGAATCACAAAAGTAAAGATCGAGTGAGTGTAGACGAAAGAGATCCACAAAAAGTACAAAGAAATATAGAGGAGACGAATCACTGACCGACATCGCTTGGGGGGGAAGACGAGCGCCAAGGCTAGAACGAACAGGAAGCGACCATCAGAGAGTCAAAAATCAAATTATCGTGGCGTAAAAGATGAAGTAAGAGAAGGGAGGAGAGAGCAGGCACCACCTTTGGAGATAGTCTCGGAAGAAGGCGAGAGAAGGATGGTGGAGAATGGAAGGGTCGGACCTGCAGCTGGTTACGAAGGCTTTCAACTCAGACACCTTGTGGGTATCCATACTTCCCCTTCCGCTGCCGCAAAGGAAAGCATCCCCTTTGCTGTGCCGACCCTTGCGAAAACAACAATAACACACACAAAAGAGGGGCTAATTGTCGATTACAACCACGGAAGACGCTGCACGTGATATCAGGTGCTGAATTAGAATGGCAAAACGGTCATTTGATCCGTCTAGTCGATGATACAAGAAAGGTGGACGCGTCGACTCCTTTCTTCCCCGAATCTGGCCGGCTCGAGCTTCTCCTATTGCGACTTCCTCAGGCCGGCGACGAACCCGGAAGGACCCGAACCAGGAGCCGCGGTCACCCGCATCGGGGGCCACGGGCGACGGGCGATCGGATGACGGATCATTCTCATACCAGACGATCCTTCCCGGCAGGGTTTCGAAGGCTCCCGGGGCGATGAACGCCGAAGAGTGGGGAGAAAGAGGGAATGGAGAGGGCGCAACGGCAAAGACGCCATCGAGGGCGGAGGAGGAGGTGTCGAGGAAGCGAGCACGAGGGACGCAGCGCTCATGGACCCGTCGACGCTGCGGCGGTTCGTCTCACCCGTGGCGGTCGAGCTGGAGCCCGACGACGACTCGGAGTACCTGCGGACGGAGTTCATGAACCAGAAGGCCCTCTCGCAGGACCCGGATAACGCGCTTCTGCTCGCCAACTTTCCTCCTCCGCTGCGGGTGACAGCGGCTTCCTGGTTCGGGTCCTGCCGGGTTCGTCGCCGGCATGGGGAAGTCGCAACCTACTGGTGCCCACTGTGGAGTCCAATCGAACAGCGACTCCTAGTCCGGGTCCTGCCGGGTTCGTCGCCGGCTTCAGGAAGTCGCAACCTTCCTCACAGTGGTGCCCACCGTGGGGCCCAATCGAACAGCGATTCTCCCAGGTGTTCTTCCTGTTCGTCGACAATGGCAGACCACCGGTGAGCAGCACGTTGCTGTCGTTGACGGACGAAGGGATTGCGAGGAAGGGAGAAGGCAGAAGCGAGGGTGAGTCGAGGGATCAGTGGCGGGTCTGCCATCGTCGACGAACAGCAGTTCTGCAGGAGAATCGCTGTTCGATTGGGCCTCATGGTGGGCACCACGAAGGTTGCGACCTCCTAAGCCGGCGACGAATCGCGACTAAAGGTTGGATTAAACGGGTCAAATGACGGTTTTACCATCCAAAAAATCGCTAACTCAGCACGTGATGTGTGAGTGACAGCAAACGGCGACGAATCTTTGACTAAACGTTGAATTAAACGGGTCAAATGACGGTTTTACAATCCAAAAAATCGCTAATTAAGCACGTGATGTGTGAGTGACAGCACGTGGTGCGCGCCTAGGCTGTTAGATTATTCGATGAAGGCCCATCTCGGCCTACTGATGAAGGTGAGCCTTTTTTACCTATCGCTTTCAATTTAGATCAAGCATACATACCGATATAAAATATTAAACTATTTCATATATGTTTCTGTATTTATTTTTTCATAAATAAATTTGATATGTTGAATAATAATTATAATTAAAGTTTATATTAAATTCTTTTGTTTTTTATATTATTTTAAATTTAAATTAGCTAGTGATAATTATGTTAAATATAAGTTAATCTATATATATATATATACATATACATATTTATATACATATATATATACATATACATACATATATATACATACATACATACATATATATACATACATACACATATATATATATATATACATATATACAAATATATATATATATATAACAAATATATATATATATATATATATA